TATATATATATATATATATATATATATATATATATGTATATTATCTAAAATTTTAGAAAAATATATGAATTATTCCATTATCTGTGAAATTTCTTTGAATGCTCTATCTCATTCTTGAATAATTATTGAATTGATATTTTATTGGACATCTCTTATAAGCTTTAAAAGACAACTTTATTATGAAATTGTCTTGAGTGTGATATCTTATTGCATTTGTCTCTATCTCTTAAAGGCTAAGCTCATCGATTTTTCAAATTAACATATATTCTAATTAGGTATTATTTTAGGCAATGTTAAACTTATATTGTGTTTATACATTGACAACACGTTTTACACAACCCAAGTTTTGAATTACTCAACGTAGTAATGTTCATCGACTAGATAAATGATGTATCTTAAGTATTATAAAAGTAAGTATTTAAAATTATATGAAATATTAAAATGGTGTTGACGGGATTACCCACTTTGCATTATTGATAGTGCAACAATTTATATGAGGCAACCCCTTAAAGGTGCAGATGGATCCCAGAAGGGCCCCTGGCTTTCATGCACGATGAGATAGAGGTCTTGTGAATCATTATTGGATGTCGAGGACCTTATTTCAGACTCAAAAAGTGGAAGTGAAAATAATAGAGCACTAATCAGGTCATGGTGGGGGTAAAGAGTTGTCATTGTGTATTTGACATTCTACCCTTCAATAGAAAGTGTAGTGAATGGTGGTTTCATATAATTTGCATGAGAACCAATGAAATATTATTATATAGATCGATGACTTATTCTCCAAAAAAAATGAGCATAATATTATAAAATTTCAAAAGAAAAAAAAATAGTTAACCAAACGAAGTAGGTGGAGTGACCATAAAATCTAGCAATCTTTGAGAATCTTTTCTTCCATCATTTTTATGGCTAATTTATCCATCAAGAGAAAAGTTAAGTTTATTATCATTTAATTCTTCTAAGTTTTAGTTTAATAAGGGGTCATTTATAGCTCTGTTTAGATTGTTCTATATGTTGAGTACTTCAAATCTTAGTACACAACATTAGTTTATGGCCTTATTATTGACTTTCATGTTGAAGTTGCATCAACCTTAACCTGATTAATATGTCAATCATGCTTCACAAGTCTGTCTAGCACCAAAGCTAATAGAGTAGGCAAATGTCATATAATACGATATGACCATGATGGAAGTGTGGGTAGATGGTTGTTCTAATACACCATTTGAGGATTGGTTGACTTCTTTAATATATCGCCTTAAAGTAGATGACACTAAGCTAACTATAAATGTGACTAAGCTGCCCATAGTAGTATTTTTCTTGGCAAAGATATATTGGTTAAACTAAATCCAACATACCTTCAATAAAATGTTGATTTATATTATTGGTTTTGATTTTAAGCAAAGCAGAACACACAACAGGAAGACCTCATAATGCATTTAGACAATGGTATGAATTTAAGTAGGTTGGTCTAGTGGGAAGATGCAATTGATTCACCAAAAATTTCAACCAAATGGGCAACGAATAAAGTAGTATTTTAAGTAAAATTATGTATCTCTAGAGACAAAATAAGTTCAAAAGATTTTAAATGTACTTTTCCATAAGGATGATTTTGATTGAGTGGAAAATTAAGGCATTTTAGGGGTTATATCCTATTATGGTGGTAGAGGACACTAAAGTTTCAGGGTGTCAAAGAAAGATGATGAATTTTGATCAATGTTATCGTCAAAGAGCTAAAAAAGCTATAGGTTATACATCGATGAATATAGGCTTACCATTGATAATAGGTAATATTAATAGAAAATATATGATATTGTAAGTTGATTGTTGATGTTAAAACATAAAAACTGCCAATTATTGGTTGAATGTAGATGTAAAAGAAGTTTGATTTCTATAGTCTCAATTATGGGTATTACTGTGAAAATTGATGTATTGAGAATTAAGGAAATCGAGGACAATCATTTGAATGTTTTAAAAGTAGCCTAATATTAAAAATTCCGTGAAAGTTTGAAATGACTAGAATTTTAAAATTTTAATTTATTTAAAATGAGGAGAATTATATTTAGTCACTGAGGGAGTAATCTAACCATTACAAGTAATTGCCCTAAATATTTCTTAATTGTATTAGTATTGGCTGCATGAGATTGTGTACTCACTTGACTGAAAAGTTATTAGATGATCAGACTCTTAAGCCATCCCAATAGAATCACACAAACATCATAAAACTTAATGGTTGATTGAAGGATAACAACAATATGCTCACAGTGGTGTAATGTGGTGAAGTCTCTGATCGACAACCAAAAGAATCATTTTGTAATGCTTTTGATGTTATATTTAAATTGTGGTTGATTGATTAATTAAATATTCAATTGTTAAATCACCCAAAAATATATAATAATTAGTTTATCATCATCAAAAAAATATGATAATTAAGGTATAAATTTATTTGTCTTCTCGAGAATAGCTCATCATCATTGAGGATTCACCAGTAAAATCATCACTTATGTCATAACTATTCTGATGATGTGCAATGAGAAAAGATTAAATACATGGTCCTTAAAAATGAAAAAAAAAGGAGGTAACTCCACAATATCTTAGGAAAAAATGTTCTTCAAGAGGGCAATCAATGTCACAAATACTAACAATTTGATCCCTTCTACAGATGTTAAAGGCTTCAAGATTTTTTAGATGAAATTTAAGCGGTCATGTTGACTTTATTGCATTTAATTCATCTGTCTATGATAAATTCTTTCTTAAGATTGTCTCAGCCAACAACTGACAACATTCTATAAGGTTTACACAATCCTTAGGGGTCATTTAGGATTATTTTTATTTTATTTTGTTTGTGTTTCTAATTTTTTAATTTTTTTTAATTATTCATTTGTCATAATATACTTAGTTGTGTTTAAAAATACTCAAAACTTGATTTCACATGTTTTGAATGTTCTTAAAAATTAGCTAATTTTTAATTAAAAAAATAAAAACATGAAATGAAGTAGCAAAAGAACTTGTTTTTAAAATAAAAGAATAGATAAAAAAGTAAAAGTTAAAAATGATCCGAAACAAATCGTCAGTTTTTGGCTTTTTTTTTTCCCCAAACGATTGGTTTCTCATGAATTTGAATATGTTGGATCTTAATTATCAAATCACTTCCTTTCTTATCTTTTTTTTTTATAAATAAAATAAAATTAATAATTACATTACCTCAAAAGTACTTTCTTAAATTTTTGTCTTATATTTTTAACTATTTTCAAGTTAATAGTTTTAAAGTGTGAATGGGATCATTTTTATTTTTATATTAAGAGAATGCATTGTTTTCTTAATATTTTTTAAAAATTTTCATTAAAATGCTTAAATGTCTAAAACCCCTCAAAACAACTATCATAATGCTTGTCGCCATTAGCTAATGTTATTGTTGTTGTTGACCACAACTAGTGTCATTGTCTCACAGGCTATCGCCCCTACCCTCAAAACAACTTTTATCATCTTCGCAGAAATCAATTTATTTGATATTTATTTGATATTCAATTAATATTCAATTATATATATATATATATATCTGTGTGTACACTAAAAAATGGACTGCACGGATCTCGAAATAATCTAACGGTTCAAATAAAAAAGTAGAGAAGAAGTTACAAGACATCCTCTTTAGTAAGGACAATGATGCAATTTTATATTTTTCATCCTATCTTCTATAAATAAAATGGCGTTCTCATGTGCATGGGGTTTTTAGTTCCTCTCTCTCGTAACTCAAGAATTTAATGAAATAAAATGGGCTAAGAGCTCCGGGAACACCCTATTCGCCCTTACGGAGCAAGTCTTCCTCTCTCTCCCTCTTTTCTTCTTTCTCTCCATTTGTCATTAGGCTCTATCCCTTGGGCATAATCGAACAGATTTAGATTCAACATCCTGAAAAGTAGGGAACACCTCATTCGCCCCAACAGGACAAGTCTCCCTCGCTCCCCTCTTCTCTTCTTTCTCTCATTTGGTCACTGGTCTCTATCCCTTAAGCATGATCAGACAGATTTGGATTCAACATCTTGAAAGCTATGGTGAGCGTGATCGGCTGCCTCGGAGGCCAGCCACAGCGTAGGCTGTCTTACCGCCCATCCACCTTGTATCGCAGGCCGACTGCCTCGAACGTCAAATGCTTCTATCACATGGTGTCAGTCGTCCCGCACCAGTCAACCCTCTCTCTGATGAGCAAAAGACCTCGTCTTGTGGCTTCCTTGCTGGCTAACCGTTTGCTTCGCCAACTGTTTTTAAAATAAAAGCATAGATAAAAATGCAAAAAGATAAAATTGATCCCAAACAACGAATTAGTTTTTGGCTTTTTTTCTCGAAGTATTGGTTTCTCATGAATTTGAATATGTTGGATCTTTATTATCAAATCACAACCCTTTTAATCATTTTCTAATAAATAAACTAAAATTAATATTTACATTGCCTCAAAAGTAATTTTTTAAATTTTTTTCTTATATTTTTAACTATTTTGAAGTTAAAAATTTTAAAGTGTGAATGGGATCATTTTTATTTTTTTTATTAAGATAATGCGTTGTTTTCTTATATATTTTTTTAAAAACTATCATTAAAATGCTTAAATGTCTAAAAAAACACTTAAAACAACAATCATAATGCTTGCCGCCATTAGCTAATGCTATCGCTGTTGTTGACCACCACTAGTGTCATTGTCTCACTTGCTATAGCCTCTACGCTCAAACAACTTTTATCGTCTTTGCATAAATCAATTTATTTGATATTCAATTATATATATATATATATTTGTAACATCTATGACCATCTATTATTACAACTTCAAATTATGGACTTTGTGGCCAACTATTATTATTATAACTAGTAACTACATGTATTGTTGCTCAGTTATAACTATTATAGCTTAACTACAATGATATATTTGTATTTATCAGCCCTATAATTTCATCATCTTTTATTTGGAAGAGGAGACGAAGTACAAGCATACCTCTTAATTCTTGTGAATTTACATATCTAACATCTAAATTTCAATTTTGACACACAATAATTCTGACATGTAATAAAAGATTTGGGTTGTATAAATATAAAAATCAAAGTTTAGCTTTACATATATATATATATATATACATAAAAATTGAGTGGTATAAATGTAAATGGCCCAAAAATTATTGTGAAGTAAGTTTTTAGCCTATATTAAACTTTAAAAATATATCAATATATTATTAAATGGCATTATTAAATCCCGGTTTTAACAAATTATTTTAACAAAAAGCTAAACAATAAATAAGAAAAATATATAATTTAAATTTATGACAATACTGAAATAAAAAAACCAATGCGAACAACTTCGGCCGGAATCTTTTCTAAATGTATGTTCATCAGATTCACAAAATTCCTCAATAAAACCATCTTATAAAGATACGCGGCATGAAGGAGACCAAAGTGACCATTACAAGCGCATCAAGAAAAAATTCACCACGCACACAGTGCAGATTTTTATTTTTCAGTTCAAATTTAAGAGAGAAACAGAGAGAACTTCCAAAGCTAAATGTCACGGGCCGAGAAGCTCCGGCGGGAGGGGATGCAGGCGAGTCTTCGGAAAACAAACAAAAGGCTTAGCCCTTAGAATAACCATTCCCGGCCCCTCGCTCATGTCCAGCTTCTCCTTGCCTCCCCATTCAAAACACTGAATCAACGCAGCCAAAGCCACCGTTATAACCTGAACAGCCAGCGTCACTCCAGGGCACATTCTCCTCCCGCTTCCGAACGGCAAGTAGTGGAAATGCATTCCTTTGTAGCTCAGCTCTCCATCCTCCAAGAATCGGCTCGGTCGAAACTCCAATGGCTCATCCCAGTACTTGGGGTCCCTATTCACTGAATATACATTAAAGATTATGGTGTTTCCCTTGCGTAACTCAAATTCGCCGTGTTTGATCTCTTTTGTTGCTTTCCTCATGGCCATGGGAGCTGCTGGGTGGAGCCTCAATGTCTCCTTCACGACGGCCTGGAGATAGATGAGGTTTTGGATGTCGGATTCATCGATGAGGCGGTCCTTCCCGACGGTGTTGTCAATCTCTTCTCTTGCTTTTTTTAGCTGTTCGGGATGGTTTATGAGCTCGGCTAAAGCCCACTCTGTTGTAGCCGCAGAGGAGTCTGACCCGGCCGTGAAAACATCCTGCAGGCAAACAGAACAAGGGTCCCGTAGAAATGGGAGAATTTTATATGCATTCGCGTATTGTATGTAGAGATTGGATGTATTTTAAGATAAAATATTGTGCCCCTTAACTTGAATTGAAAGTATAATTAATGCATGCCACCAAATATACAGATACACGTGCTGTGATCAACACGCTTTGAAGTACACTCATCTACCGGTACCGAACCCACGTGTAATAATTTTTTTTTTTTTTTCCGGAAATGAAAAGCTAGGCAGTTAATTATAAACGGAATAGGTTTATAAACCCTGAGATAGTTTAGATGCACGAGGGATTGCATTATTAAGCTTTTATTTTATTTTATTTTATTTATTTTTTGAAACATATTGGGGCGTTTACATACATTCCACATTATTTTTATGTAGTTACATATCTAGCAATAAGTTTATTTTTTTACTTTTATGTCAACTAAATCTTATCTGCTCATTAAAAAAAAAATATCACACTTTTAACACTTCTCCGTAGCAGCTTTTTGGGATACATAGCTGCAACTGAAAAATTGAGAAATTGCAGCTGCCCCAAACAGACCCTTAGGGCCCATTTGAAATTGTGGTAATGACTGCATCCCGAAACTGCCACGAGCACTAGATTTGTAATGTATTGAAATTGAGTGAAATATATATAGCCCTTCCAAATATAATTGACATAGTATATTTTATTTTTAAAAACATTTAAAAAATTATTTTGAAAATTTTAATAGTAAGATGATTTATTTTTAAAAAAATAAATAAATAAATAAACAAATATACATTAAACAGATATATTTAAAAAAATAAAAAATAGGAACATAAAAAAATGATTTCAAATAAATCCCAAATAATAGATTAAAATGAGTCAAAATCTCTATAAAATTCGTATTGCTCTTTTATAAAGAGAATTTTTTTTTTTTAAATGCTTCTAAAACAAAATTTATGATAAGCAACTTTTGTATATATATATATATATATATCCTTTTGTATATATATATATATATTATGATGCAAAAAAAATAAATAAATAAATAACCATAGCTACCCCATCCAAATCTTATGTATTTATATATCAAGTATCTAAGCTTTTGTTTTCACATTCATAACATTTAAAACTTTTATATCAAATAAAAAAAAATATAATTATTATTAACTCAAAAAAGTAAAATATATATGCCTTTTTCAAACATAATTAAAGTGAGATAAATACAAAAATAAAAATTGAAGCGCTCGATATGCAATTGCAAATACATTAGAATTGCGGGGTATGCATGTAAATCATTAATATATCACATGCCCACAAGCAAGAATTAACTAATTTATTAAATAAGCATTTCTACTATTAAAAAAAAAAAAAAAATTTACCAGAATGAAGCTCTTGATATTTTCTGTCGTTAACTGGATCTCCATCTCCCTGTCTTCTGCAGCATCAAGCAATATATCAAGCAAGTCTTTGTTGCCGTCGACCCCAACACCACAACTCTTCCTCGACGCCTCTTTGCTCGCCATGATCCTCTCCATCAACGCATCGAAATTATCCCGCACCTCTTTCATCCTCTTTCTTAATCCCTGCAAATCAAAAATGCTCAGAAATCCTATGAAATCCCCCAAATTGACCGATCCGATGATCTCCGCCACCCCCTTCACCGCTTTCCTCGCAGCCTCGCTATCTCCCGCGGATGCCGTTCCGGTCGTCATTCCGGCGATGACGCTCGTCGTCATCCTAATCAGCTCTTTACTCAGATCAATGGATTCGGCGGCTGCGGATTTGGCCGCCAGAGTTCGAAGCAGAGCAAGGAGCTCGCGGCGTCGGATGTAAGCGAGACCGTCGACGGTGCGGGAGGAGAGGAGCTCTGACATGCAGAGCTTTTTCATGAAGCGCCAGTAAGGGCCGTAAGGGGCAAACGCGAATCCGGAAGATTCGTAGGCGAAGTGACGGACAGCGGTGAAGATCGGACGGTCGGCGAGGTCTTGGTCGTGGGTTTTGATGAGTTCCTTTGTGGCGTCGGCGGAGCCGACAAGGATGGCTGGAGTGGAGCCTAGGCGGAGTTTAACGATGGGGCCGTAGCGGGATGTGAGGCGGTGGAGGGATTGGTGGAGGGGAGGGTGGAGGAGGTGGAGGTGGCCGATGATGGGCAGTGATGTTGGACTCAGAGGAATTGGTTTGGGAGTCTTGCGGGATCTGGTGATGAAGAAGTTGAGGATGAGAAAGCAGAGGGGGAGGAGGAGGAGTGAGAGGTAGGGGGAGTGGAGGAGTTCTTCCATGTCTGAAGCCGGAGAGGAAGGAGGATTGAGAGAGGAGAAATTGTGGTGGTGTAGAAGGCCACTGGTGGCCTTATTAAAGCAAAAAAAAAAAAAAAATGGCGTCCCGAAAAGAAGAAAATGGACTAATTTGAAAATAAATTTCAGAGCGGTTTAGTTGTATCGCATGTTGTGTAGGGCGCCGTTGATAATTAATTTTGGGGGCTAGCACATGAAAAATATAAATATTTAAAGTCTTGTGCATCACAGTTCACTATTTGTATATGTAAATGCTTCGACAAAAAAAAGAAAATTTACATGTTTTCACACCTAACACTTAATTTTTTTTAAAAATACTATTATCATTTGTGAAATATATGCATATCTTCATGCATGAATTTTATGTATTTACATATACAACGCGTTAAATTTTATGGTTTATATTAATATCATCAAAATCTTTTAAATCTTATAAAATTATTATTATTAATGTGTGTTAGAAGATTCATAGCGTTAGAGTAATAGATTATTGTATTAATATTACATGAAGGTTCAACATGCACTCATATAAAAGAAAACAACCAGTAGATACATCAAAAATTTTACGTGAAAAACCTAAAAAGAGAAAAAATCACAGAGTCTGACCCAGGATAGCATACGCTTTCTCTAAGTGGGAATACACTTAGAAGATGTTTGGTAGTATAGTATTAATAGGATTTAGGGATGCATTTAACTTAAATCTAGCCAAACACTGAGAAAATGAAAATTAAATCTAAGGCTCGGTTAGATAAAATTTTTTCACTTTTTGTCACTTTTCATCGTGTTCTATCTCTATTATGATGTAAATCTAGATTTAATAAACCTCAATGAGAGACAAATTTAAAAGATTTATTCTATCATTGTTAAGCTCCGTCTCCATTACAGGATTTATTGAATTTACTAAATCCTAGTAAATTCCAGTTTCAGCGAAACACTGCCTTAGGCATCACAAAACATAATTAAGTCATCTCAGGAGGAGAAAATATTATGTCCAGATTAGATATGTGGACGACGAACATAATATTCTCTCTCCAATGGTCACACTTTCTCGTGTGAGTGGAATATTATTTAACTCTCAACGAGCTCTTCCTAAACTCATGTCTTCATATTTGGTCTTAGGAGAGCAACAATTTGGACTCTATCGTCAGAATATCCAAACAACGATGTGGATTACACCACGATGGCGTAAACACTAACATGCTGCTATTCACATCGTCATCCGGACATGCATTATCCAGGCACAATTTTTTTCTATTTTGCATGCGAGAAAGAACATGATGACCCCAAATTGGTTTGGATTAACTCTAAAATCCTAATATTTATTTTGACATGCATATATTTTTATTTATGAAACTCAATTTAAAATAGAAGTGGTTTGAAATTCATTTTGATTTTTGGACCTACTCAAAATTAGGATCGGCCTATTTTTTAAAATATTTTACATTCGTGCATTTTTTTATATTAATACAAACTTGAATAAAAAGATATCAATCTCAATAGGTGACAAACAAAAATTTATATCTACCTCTTGGCCCCTCAAATAATTTCTATTCCGACCTTATAATTGAGGAAGAAGCAAATTTATTACGAATTTATTGCTTGTATTGCTGTTTAGGCGAGAGCGACCACATGTTTGGACGTAATTTCGCCCTTAATTATGAGCAGCATTGCAAAGCAATATACACCTATTACACTAGGGGTCGTTTAGTTGGAAGGATTTCTTGTGTACTCTAATTTATTTTCAGGGATTTGAGAACATTTGTGTTTCGTATGAATAAGCATAAATACAATGTAAAGTTTTCATGAATTTTTAAAGTTCACTCCATATGTCATTTTGGCTGAACTTAGAATTCAGCTAATTTGATCGAATTTAAATTACACTGTAAAATGCTATCGACAAATTGTCAACAGTGATTTCGTTCCTTTCTCTTTCTATTTTAAAAGGGTCGTCAGCTTGATGATCGTCGTATACTTTTTCTTCCAGGAGAAATCTCTTTTCCGGATTATATGATGATCATAAAAAAGGGAAGAATCAGACCTTGCAAGGAACTTCAAGCATGTCTGTCTGAACAAGATCGGGTAAAAGCACATTAGATTAGTATTCGTGAAAGAGTATCGACATAGACTACCCACAAACCAGTGAATCAACTGCATGTGTCTGTTCCGGGGTCAAGAGCACTCCCAAGGAGACATATCCACTTGGTTAATTATATCTAAGAAGATATCCCAGAATACTCTCGATAAAAATAGTTCTGCTTTTATTATCATGATCCTGGGGAAATAAACTCACAAAGAATAGTTATTTCATATGAGAAAGTTTCAATGCTTCAAATCTTTCGCCAAGTCATCAGGTAAAGGGTGAGTCTTTCTCATCCCGAATGGGTAGCATCTCATCAGCATAAAGAACCTACGAAATAACCATGACCATTTGATGGGGATGTCCCTATGCGTCAAAGCACGCCCATACCATAAGGGCAGATGATAAATCATCGTATCACAAACGGGCGGTAGCTCATAGGCTTTGGGTCACCAAATGATATCAACAAGGTCAAATGAGTAGACGGGGCTCAACAAGGGTAGTCAAAGAAAGAGAGAAGTAATCCCTAGAAGGTTGAAGCAGCTGGGTACCACGGACTCGTCATCCCAAGCTACTAGAATCTTATGTCTACCCGATCTTGAAGATAGTCGACCCAACATGACTAAAGATATTTGGTCAACAATCTGTGAATTGCATCGTTTATGGGAACATCGACAGCCTTAAGGTCAAAGAAACGAAAATTTATCCTATGACTATCGGCTGGAGCCCCAAGAGGTGGGACTTATACCTGTCGAAGCGGCGATGAAGTAACATAAAAGAGAGAGAGAGAGAGAGAGAGAGAGAGACGTTTAGCTACAAACCTATAAACACTCCAACAAAATGACTTACTACCCGTCTTGGTCGGGGTCCTTCTAACACCCTAGACACATTAGACAACCACCTATATAAAAATGTATGTAGAGCTAGTCGGGTTGGAGAAGTGCGGGGGCTTCTCCTCGGGGTATGTAAATATGAAGCAGTTATCTACCACAATCTTAAGTGTGGAGACCCTATTAAATATGGCTTGGTTACGGTCATGCATGCAGTCTATTTTAAAACACACCCAAAGGCCATACAAAAAGTAAAGAGAAGTTTTGAAAATTCCCGATTCTTTTAACCCTAAAATTTAATAATCTTAATCTTTTAGTTGGATTTTTAAGTAAAAGAATTATAACTTTCAAGTCCTTAACAAGTCTAGATTATAATTTTCATAGAATCCTTGATGCACAGAAATAAATAATAAAAAACAATCCAGGCATGCATATACTCAATAAAAAGAGTAAAGCATTTAAAAATATATATAAGGAAGCCAAATGTCGTTAGGCCGACGAGATATCCCAAGAAAGCTGGAAATGCGGTCACTCCGCACATACATGCCCAGTCCCAGATCTATACAAAAATATTGAAATCAGACTTAAGGTATAGGACACAAGCTGCTGCTCCTGGTCCCCGTCACGTGGTTTGATGCATCATCTACCTTAAAACTCATGTTCATATCTTATTTCTGATACAGACTCAATCTAGGGACTCTGTTAAATACATTGAAAGAGAAAATAAAAGAGTCAACCTAGATGAAAACAAGAGTTAGCAGCAAAAGTCATGTAATGCAAAATAGATTGTGCCTTATAATTGTGGGAGTTGCATAACACCTGCAAACAAAAGAGATAGAAATTATTGCATGCTCCCTCATAGCGGTACTTGTGTATTTGCAAATAAATGGACATGGCTCCCTGCAGAAGAACACCCTATTATATTACTATGCACATTAAGCGCACTAGCACACCAAAAAGCAGAAGGGTGATGCATGGCTAGCACAAGGAGAACCAGTACAGTACAATAATCAAAGGCATCTAAAAACACTACTTAACACCTTAAATCCTAGCATATCACACCATGTAACGAAAAGTGTCCTAACCTAGCTTATAAGTGCATAGGGTAAAGTCTTTAAATAACGTATGAATTTGACTGGGTCGACACGTCGGCGCTGTTCTAAAGATCCAAGTGATCTAAATCACGTCACAAGGAGGGGAGAAATTTAAAATAAGTGACCTTACATATGACTTAACGTATATATTTTAAAAATATAGTGAATAATATATAAATAGTAGAAATATCTATTTTATACTTTTAAAATAGAGGACTTATAATGTGGGTCTGTAACACATATGATACACATTAGAACCCTTGGATGCTTAACACAGTTATACTCATGTCAATCCCGATTACTTTACCGCATTGCTCCTCAGGATCAACCCAACGATCAAAGCTCATTAAGGCATCACGACCGATACGGGGTCACTCACCCAACAAGTAGGACAAGTTGTCATGGTGAATGGGCAAGCATACAAACATGCAAGAAGCTCACATTGTCATTGTTTTACTAAGGTATGAAATAATCACAATAGGTGCCCAAAAGGGCGAAACACACATCATGCAAATGGATGAAAAGATGTCACATGCAACATGACACACATGAATATGATATACCAGTATGAACATACTACCTATGTGAGAAATTATGCCTGCCCGGGGACCCGGGTCTCCATGAGACAAGTAGACACCGCCTAGTTAATGTTAGATTAATTGTAAACCTCAAACTTTGCTATTTTGGGGAGTTTTTAAATGAGAGCTACTCTCAAAGCTCTTCTAGGATATTCTTTATCTTCTTTTGCTTTCCTTTTTCCTCTTGAAGCCCTGGTTGTCTCCTTTTCTGATCTTACTTTTCACCCCCCTCACTTTGCTTAGGGGTGACACTTTATGCAGGCTATGAATTGTTTGTCATTTCCACCCGTCCCATCTTCTGTTATAGCCTCTATTATTGGTCATGGTCATTCTTTTAACTGGAAAGGGATATTTTCTTTGCATATCCCTAATCTTACAAACTTTAATCTTTCATTCATTCCTTGTATAAATAAGATTTTTTTTTTTCCAGAAGAGGAGGTGGATTAATGTTCCAAGCAATGAAGGCTTGAGCTGGTCAGATACACCTTGGGTGCACCCATTTTACAATAAGTTGTTGCAAGCTATTAAAAATATTTT